CCCTTCCCCTCCCCCATTTCTGAAGAAGGGTCCCAACCCGAAACGTCAGCTTTCCTGCTCCTTTGATGCTGCCTGGCCTGCTGTGTTCCTCCAGTTCCACACTAGGTTATTCTACTATAATGTGTGTTTTATTAACACAAATTGGCTGTAATGCGATTGATGAATAGTGGATGCTGTTTGGATAACATGAACTTTCTACTGTACAGTATGGTGATTTTCTATAGTGATTTCCCTATAATGCGATTTTCTATAGAGCAAGGTCACAAGAATGCAACTATCATGTTAAAGGAGAAATATCTGTGATTAACATTTCTACCCTGGGAAAAAGACTGATTATCCACTCTTTCTATGTCTCTCATAATCTTGTAAATTTCAATCAGGTCACCCCTCAGCCTCCGATGTTCAAGTGAAATCAAGTTTGTTCTAAAGTTCGGTGTTTCTTAACTGGGTAGTTTTCATCATAGCATATCAATTGAATTTTAAATTCCACCAGCTCCTGTTGTGCCATTTCCTCAGCCATTAGTCTGGATCTCTGGCTTACTAGTCTAGTGATAATATCACTACCCCTATCCTACACCTTTTCCACCCACTCCCCTAAACAAAGAATGGTTTGGCATAATTGATTGACTTACAAGGGCGGTTAAGAGACAGCAATATTGTGTGTGCCTCAAGTCGCATGTAGATCAGACAAGGTAAGTATGACTTTTTCAGTGTTTTGGAGCAGCACCCATCCAGGCCAGCAGAGGATATTTCATCACAGTCCTGACTTGTGCTTTGATGGTAACAGAGAATTGGGAATTTTGGGAATCAGAAGTTCCATGATTCCTATTCTGTGATCTGCTTTTGCAGCTTCTTGTGTAAATGGCTAATTGTTTTACGTTTTGGTTAGAGGTAACCTCAGTATGTTGATAGTGGCAATTCAGTGATGGCATTACCATTGAAAGCCATGGCATGAGGGTTAAAATATCTCTTTTGTTGAAGGTGATAATAGCTTGGCACTTGTGTGGCATGCATGTTACTTGCCACCTGTCAGCCCAACCCTGAATGTTGTCCAGGTTCTGCTGCTTTTGGATACAAACAGTTTTAGTATCTGAGGAGTTAGAAAGGTGCTGATTATTATGTAATCATTAGGAAGCTTGCCCACTTCTGACCTTCTAGCGGAGGGGATGTCATTGATGAAGCAGCTAAAGATGGTTGGGCCAAGGTTACTAGTGAGCCAAATGGGTTTTTAAGACAATCTGATGTACTATAAGTGCAAGCCCTTATTTTTCTTTCGAGAGGTGAAAAGGCTGATAAATTGGATTGAAGTAATGTTCAGAATTAATCTAATAAACAGGGATAACTGGTTTAAATAATTGAATGGTCTACTCATGTTTTTATGCTCCAGTTAAACATTATCATTGAAAATAGGCTGTCAACCAGTTATTTATCTATAATGAAGGAACATTTTCAGTTTCAGAGTCCAGATTGTTGATTGTCTTCTTTATATAGGGACAAACTCCAAAAGTCCTCAAATGAGAATTTGTTAGTTCATAAAGTCCATAGAGGGTGAGACTGAAAATTTATAATGAGAAACAAGAAAATAGCTGAGACTTTGAACAAGCATCTTAAATCTGTCTTTACAGCAAAAAGATGCAAAGAAAAATCTTGGATGGTTGTAAATGAAAGGGGAGAAGGGAGGTGGAACTCAGTAATCATGGCAGTTAGGAAGTAATGTTAACAATCATTTTGGAATGAGGGAAGGAATGCAAGAGCAGGAAAGTACTGCTGACACTTATAAGGCTGTGCTTAGACTGTATTTGCAATATTGTGAGCAGTTTTGGGCCCTGTATCTAATGCTGGCCTTAGAAAGGTTCCAGAGCAAGTTATACAAGAATGATTGCAGGGATGAAGGGATTGTCACATGAGGAGCAGTTGATTCAATGTAGTTTAGAAAGACCAGGATGTATCTAATTGAAACGTACAGAATATTGAGAGGCCTTGATGGAGAGGACATGGAGAAGTGTTTCCATGAGTAGAAGATACTAGGACCTAAGGGCACAACCTCAGCGTGAAGAGAGTTCTTTTTAGAACTGAGGTGAGGCGAAATTTCTTCAGCCAGAAGGTGGTGAATCTGTGGACTTCATTGCTGCCGAGGGCTGTGGAGGCCAAGTCATTAAGTGCTTTTTGAACTGAGATGGTTGGGTTCTTGGTTAATAAGGGGATCAATGGTTATTGGGAAAAGAATGGAGTTGAGAAGCACATCACCTCTGATCAAATAGTGGAGCAGACTCAAAATGGCCTAATTCTGGATCTGTATCTTATGGTCTTATCACTAGAGAGAAAGTACTAGAAAAACCAGTGTGACTGAATGCTGACGAGTCTGATGGTATCAAGACCTTTTTTGCTAAGATCTTAAAATTAGGTTTTTAAAATTTGTTTGTGGACAGTGGGCCAGAATAACATTTTTGATTATTTCCAGTTGACATGGAGAAGATGGTGGTGAGTTGTTTTTTTGAACTGCAAGAACACCCACA